TAGTCGATGGTGAAAGGTGGTAAACAACTAAATGTTGATTAATATATCCCTACTATCATGTATACAATCATTCCACACAATAATACACTTTCATACCGCCATAATACAATCTTATGTACTACAAACATTACATGCATGGTATAGACTGCTATAATATATATATGTCTCTAATTTTTTTTTTGTGTCAACTGTTGCTAATATATATGGTTACTTGTTTAAAACTCAACAACCAACAATTTTTGCAAGCAAATGTATAATATCAAAGATAAAATTCCAGCAAGAACCAATATAGAACCCTTAAAGGTCTCAGTTTCCAACCTCTTTTTTTATAAAAAGGTTCGAACCTCTTAAATAAACACGTGATAATAAAAACAAACTTTTACCATGCAGATCATGATAGAACAAAAGTAAACAACAATTTATTTTTGTGAGGTGTTCGCAAACCAACTGGTCTCAACAACTCGCAAATCGCGTTCGAATAGGTCTATCCATGTATGATACCCAACCACGCGCGCACTTCCTTTTTACGAGTCTTCACGTACAGAACTTGTACGTCTCGTACCGAACGCAACAGTTCGTGGCGGCGGCCTGCGCCCCGACGCCGTTCGGGCAGTGGTCTACGATGACGCCGCGCGCCGCCGGCACACAGTTCTTGCACGCCTCGGTGGTGAAGTCATTGTTGCAGCCCCCGAAGACGTAGTACGTCGTTCCCGAGACGGTGACGTCGGCGCAGAGATCGACGTTGATCTTCCGGAAAGTGTTGTTGCCGATGAAGTTCAGCACCGCCTGCTGCCCGACGTCGGGCAGGTCCCTGTCGCCGCTGCAGGCCAAGTTGAAGAGACCGCCTTCCCCCGGCGGAACGCAAAATGGACTGGTCCCAGAAAAGCTCAAAACAGGCGGAGTAGTGGTTACGGACAACAAGATGGTAATGGTGACCAGAAAATAAGGTATTGACGCCATTTAATTTCTTCTTTTGCCTTCTTCTGGTAGGGATTATGGATATGAATATATAGGAGCGGCGGCGGCCGTGGCATCAGCGGTGGTGCTAGACGTCGAGGAGCGTGAGGACGGGAGGGAAGGCCGAGGGTTCGTGAACAACAATAAGTGCGTAGTGTTATTATGGGACTTTGTTCTTCTCTCCCGGGGGTTGTTTCGTTGTGCGTTGTCTTGGTCCGTTGTTGTTAATGTCGAGTTTATTAGTTTTGCACTTGGCTTCGTGATTATATCAACGGTTAATATTGAGGGTTGTGGAGATTCGAATACGTACACATTCAATTGACCAAACTGCGCAGGCTCTGAAACCATGTTAAGAATGCTAGTTGATCCCCATACACAGAGTTAATCCTAATTTAAATGTTGCCAAAAAATTGTAAAAATCGTTGCCTATGTTTCTAAAATTTGTTTCAAAAAATTGTGAAATGCGTTGTATCAAGTGGTGTTGTATGTAAGAGGTAAGGATACACAATCCTTTTTATTTTGGTTGCAAAAAATGGAGAGAAAAAAATATTTGTTTTTTTTCCAACCCCTTCTATATGCAACCCTAGTTGCAGGTAAAAGTGTTGCGTTAGGATATTGAAACTCTTTTACCACTTTGCGCAATACATTTTCGGAGTTGCAAGAGGTCTGAGTCGTACCCTCGACGACGTGTTAAGACACACTGTCCTCAGGATGCGGCGAAGTACAGCAACAAACCAAAGATCAAAATCACTTGGAAAGACTTAAGCTCCTGATCGAAAGGAAACACGTGCTGTAACGATGCACGAAATCGACAATACAAGAGAGTTAAAAAAAAACACACGCACGCAGATGATGATACGCGTGTTGCGCCTAATTCACAGACAGAAGAGACCAATTTCACTAAATTTTGAGTACTATATATATATATTACCGCGCGAGTCCCTCCCCCACGCGTGACCTCCAATCGACGACGAACAGAAAAAAAATCAGGGTTTACTTACAGAATCCGTACTTCTCGTATCGAACGCAACAGATCTTGGACGACGCCTGCGCCCCGACCGCGCCGGGACAAATCTGGGTAACGACGCCGCGCGCTCCCGTCAGGCAAGTCGTGCATTCCGTTACGTTGCGGCTGTCGTTGCAACCACCAAAGACGGCGAATGTCGTCCCCAAGCCGCCGGAGGGCGTGTCGGTGTCGCAGAGGTTGCCGCCGTAATTGTACGAGTGGAGCTTGTCGTCGATGAAGTCCAGCAGGTCTTTCTGCACGTTCTTCGACGCGTCGGGCAGCTTTTCTTTGTTACATGCGTAGTTGAAGAGATGCTCGTCATCCGGAGTAATGCATGCTGGATTCTTGCCGTCGGGGAAGCTCAAAACAGCAAAGATGGCGACGATGGTCGTTGTTACCGTGAGATCGAGTCGCAACAGAAAAGCTATTGACGCCATTTCTCTTTGCTTTTTTTTTACTTACTTGCTTCTTTTGGGTACGATCGAATGTATATGAAGGGGTTATTATATATAGGATGGAGAGGTCGGGAGAAAAAATAGAGGGTTTTGTCAAAAAAATGAGTAGTAGTGGGAGTTACGTGACTGGTTCTTCTAATTTTGTTTCATTGGGTTGTCTTGGTCGTTGTTGTTATGCCGAGTTTATTCGTTTTGATAAAGATGGGTGTATAGGTACTATATATTGGGGGATGGTAATTACTATTCTATTCGTGTTGGTGGTGTCCGATCGTCTTCGATCCAGTCAACCAGGTAGAATTTCGTATTGATCGAGTACGAGAGTGGTGCGGGAGGATGGGGTTTGGAAGCATGGTCCATGAAACCGTACCGCGTACCAGCGGCTCGACGACGAAATACTAGTATTAGAGACTAAATCGCGGTAACCGCGGTATTTAAACGGTTGAACTACGGTTAAAATCACGATTTTACCATAAAATACCCTACGACCGCCGACTTTCACGGTATGATTTTCGGTACGGTTTCATGGACCATGGTATGGTCTGAAGATGAGTTTAGGTGCCTCGGCCTTGTCATTATGTTCATACTCATCTATAGTATGGGGATGGTGATACATAGGCTTTTCGCTATAGTCATGAGAATGGCGATTCTACCTGTGAGTATTCGATCCTTCACCGGTAAATCGACGTGGAAAACTTAGGCAGGGATGATGATGTGTTTAGGTTGGTGTTGTCGAATTTGTTTAAGTCGCTTAGTCGATCAAGCAAGTGATTTGAAATTTATTGGTCTGATCGCGGTTCAATCTGGTTGAGCCGTTTTATGTATTTTCAAAATATTAAGTACAAAAAAGGTAGTGGTTTAAAATTTTAAAGTTTAATTGAAATTTACATGTATATGTATTAGGGATAATTAATCAAAAAATTTGGTTTTTTCCACTTATTACCATTTATCTTTTTTTCTTATTTTGAACAAAAGAAGAAAAAAAGGAACGCTCGTTTTTATTTTGACAAATATAAATGATAATAGTTGGGGGAAAAACATATTTTTTAAGTGGTCTATGCTGACTTGGCAGTGACATGGCGCATTGATCGTTGGTCAACGCGTTTGACCGGCTAAGATAACGGTCAAATCTCGATTTTGGCCACATTTCGTTACGTTGATGTATAGTTGAGGCCACAATGTTATAGATCGAAAAAAATTGGCTAGAATGTTTAATTTGTGATAAGTTCGTGCCATACAAATATATTAACCCTAGGTGACTACTTCGGCGTATTGATCGTTAGTCAACGCGTTTGACCGGCTAAGATAACGGTCAAATCTCGATTTTGGCCACATTTCGTTACTTTGATGCATAGTTGGGGCCACAATGTTATAGATCGAAAAGATTGGCAAGAATGTTTAATTTGTGAAAAGTTCGTGCCATACAAATATATTAACCCTAGGTGACTACTTCGGTGCACTCACAAAAATGAGTGCGTTCAATGCACCCAACTCAAAAACTAGTCTTAAGGTGTCGAATTTTGAATTTTAAGGTGTCGAATTTTGAATTTTGAATTTTAACCCTAGGCTACTACTGTAATTCCTTACAATGCTACCTATCACATAATTGTTGAAAATATACAGATCCTGCTAAGGCTGCTGCAAATTCTATGTTACCTATGCTATAACAATGAATTTCCAGTTTCAGTTGATTCAAAATTTACACCCAACTTCTGCTGATCCCTGTATAGCTCCTGCAGCACCTTTCTCTCCATAACAATGAGATATACCAGCACCAAAGTTCTCCAATGAGCTGTGATCCCCTTGCCTGATCCTCCTACATAACTCTGCAACCATATCTTCCCACTCTCCTGGCCAGCTAATCAATGGACAAATTGCAGATACAATTTCCAAAGCAAAAGGGAAAGAACAAAATAAATGGTCATGTGTTTCAAGTGTTTTCTTTTAATACGCGTACACATATGGGTTGACCTTCCCCAATCCGCGCTCCAAAATAAAATATTCGATCTGGACTCAACCTGCAACAATACATATATGAGTATCGTGATGCCCGCTCGACCTGTCCAATGCCATTCCTACTCCCAGGCCCTACACATACTTAATTCATAATTAGACTAACAACTAAAAAATAAGTGAGATTTAATCAGTGATGGAAAATAACCATATGTAAGTGGGAGGCTGATACCTGTTCTGTTCGGAGGACGAAGTCCAAAATGGGTAACCAAAAGCATTGATTCTTCTTGACAACAGCAGAACCCAAGAGTTCCATTCAAGAGATTTTGGGGCAAATATGTAGTTATGCTACTAAACAAGCGAGCTGCGTTCATTCATATCTCTAAACAATAACCACAACTAGCTTGAAAACACACTAATGCATCGGACATGGATCATCATCTATTCCCATGCTAGCATTGATTGGTTCTTTCTGATAACATAAGCAAGTATGGAAACACATATGTAAGTGGGACGGCAAGGATCATGACTCGGACCTTTAGTTCATTTAACCTTCTACCATCAGAATGTTCTTGACACCAGGAGCTTTTGATCAACTACTGGACCATCCAACTGGTGTTTGGATGAGAATTTCAGCAAGTTCCTTGAGTTGCAGCAGCTGATAGACCGCCGGACCCAATTCTATGACTCTTGATATCAGGACCACTCATCAGCTTCTGGAAAATTGGATGATCCAACTGATTCTTGGGCATCAATTCTATTAGCAAAGACATGGTGATTGCATCGGCTGAGAAACCTTTCGAAACCATCTCGTGAATGAGGTCCATTGCTTCAAGCGGATCCTTATGGTGAAGAAATCCATGAATAATCACATTATAAGAGCAATTGTCTGGTAGACATCTATCCCCCTCCATTTTCCTAAACAAATCAAATGCTTCATCCACAAAACCTTGTCTGCAAAGTCCATTAATTGCTATACTATATGTGCGGGTATCAGGTTGCAAACAATTGTCTCTAGAGAGCCTAGAAAACAATTCCCTTGCCTCCTCTCCCCTCCCTGCTTTCCACAGTCCATCCAAAAGTATATTGTATCCCACAACATCAGACTTCAACCTACTTTCTATTACTTGAAACAAAGCTAATGCGTCGTCAATTTTACCTCGTCGACACAAGTAATCAAGCAAACTATTGTATGTCAAGATATCCGGGGAACAACCCTCACCACTCATTTTCTTGAGAATTTGTAGTGCATCTTTAAGCCTCCCAACTTGACAAAATCCATTTATCATAGTATTATACGTGACCGTGTCCGGAACCAAATCCTTCTCAAGCATACTATTCAATAACTGTTCTGCTTCACCCATCATTTCATTTTTACAATATCCATGAATCATGATATCGTAACTGTAAACAGTAGGTTTGCATCCCCTATTGTCAATGAAATCAAATACCTTTCTAGCTTTATCTAATTCATTGCGCAAACAATACCCATTCATCAATGAATTGTAAGTGACGATATCTGGAAGCAGTCCTCTTTGAATCATCATTTTGAGTATAACTTTAGCTCCCAAAACATTTCCTTCCTTACAGAAAGCATCAACCAATATGCTACATGTGAATTTATCAGGCATTATCTTCCTGTCTACCATTATATTGAACAACTCCATAGCTTCATTGATTCTGCTTGAAATGCACAAACCATAAATCAAGCTATTGTAAGCAAACACATTTGGTTGAATTCTTTTCTCCTCCATCTCGGAAAACACATCCAATGCTCTAGATACCATTCCATCATTGCATAGGCTTCTAATTACCGTGCTATAACTAACCACATCAGGTTGACAACCGAACTCCTTCATGTTTTTGAGCAATTCAAGTCCAGCACTCGTTTGCCCTACCTTACACAAACCATCTACTATTATGCTGTAAGTGATAACATTCGGTTGATACTCCAAAATCCTAATCTTATGAACCAACCTTGCAGCCTCGATTACTTTCCCAACTTTACAGAGCCCGTCGATCAATGTATTGAGCATCACATCGTTGAATTGAATACCGAGTTTCAGAGCTTTGCTCAAAACTGAGTAGCCAAAATCCACTCGACCCAATTTACAGAAGCAACGAAGCATCATGCTAAGCGTGTAAAGATCGTGTGGGACTCCAGCTAATTCCATTTGTTTAGAAGCATAGAAGGCAGCCTGGAAGGCGTTGATTCTCATAAGAGAATTTACCAACTGACCAAATTTCACAACCGAAGGTCTGGGGTTCATGTGGAGCATCCTATTAAATGATTCCAAGGCATCATCTACGCTATCGAAAGTTACAGAATTGGAGGTCGTAGGAGTAGTTGAATTGCAGGTCATAGCAGCAGAAGAATAAAGGAACTGAGTCGTACCGGCTTTTCTTCGCCAATGAAATAGAGAGCAGTTTCCATGGATGATCCTAGCCATGCCGAGCTGTTGAACTGCTTTGAATTGAAAGCATTCACAATGAGAGACCCTGACAGCCATCATCAAATCGATACTGCCAAAATCAATTTCCACTGCGAACCCAGAATGAAAGATGCGAGCTTGACATCAAATCCGGAACCCAACCAGAAAACAGACTGAAACGCCGCCGCCGACCGGCGTGGATGCAAGAAGGTTGAGATTTTGCAAAGCACTCACCAACGGTTCTCAGTTGCTGGATTTGCAACAGTGGTCGGAACGTATATCCAAGCTTGAACTTCGCTTTGGGCCCAGATTATTTGTGTCACCGTATGACTGCGGCCTTTTTGACATTGGGCTCTTATCTATTGGGCTTGCTATCTTCTTCCGGGCCTGGCTTCTTATGCTTGAGTCATATGTTTAAGAATTAAAGTTCTGATTAGCGAGTCGCCCATCCCACTTTATTGGGATAAGATCAGGTCACTAAGTCAATCACAATCCTTCAAGTTCATTAAAATCTAATGCTTCTAATTAATTCAATTTAATGAAAGGTAGTGTAGTAATTACATGATTCATGATAATTATTTTTTTATAAATTAATAATTAAAAAAGCACAGCAGCGACGCGACCAAAATTTTTCGGCATGCCGTCCAGCCCGTCTCCTCGCCGACCAAAATTTCCCGGGGGAGAGAGAGAGAGAGATTTTTTGTCGGCGGAGGAAATTTTTTCGGCGACCGAAGGAGATTTTTTCGGCGACTAGCGACGACGGAGAAGGATTTTTCGACGACACTGCTAGATTTGTGATGTTTGTTGATCTATTTTTTAATGTTTGTATTGTTTATCATTCTTGTTTGTCATTTTTAGTGACATTTTGTATGGTTAGTATGTTTTGTACTATTTGTCGGTTTATTTGTAATGTTCGTAAACGTTGTTATTTTGTAATGTTTGTGGTTTCTTTTGTAATGTTTGTAAGCTTTGTTATTTTTGTGCACCATGTTTATCATTTTTGTCAACCATGTTTGTAATGTTTTTTATGTCTAAAAAACAATCTTGTTTACTTTTGGATGGAACTCCTCTATATAGGGATGAAGCCTCCAAAGTCAACCCGGGTGTTTTTCTAGTTTGTATGATTTTTCGGTCTAGTTTGTCATTTTTGTCCACTATGTTTGTAATGTTTGTATGTCTAAAAAACACCCGGGTTGACTTTGGGACGGAGCCCCTCTATATAGGGATGAAGCCTCCAAAGTCAACCTGATTGTTTTTCTTTTTGTATGGTTTGTATTGTTTGTCGGTCTAGTTTGTATTGTTTGTACAGCTCATATTCTACAAACTACAAAGACATATAAGCCAATGTCAACATAACGTGACTGCCACCTCAGCCTGTGCCACTTAAACCGCACTTTTCGGAAGGATTAATTTGTCATTCCGTCCTGCACTCTTCGCCTGCTGCGATTTTATTTCTTTCACAAACTTTATTTCTTTTGTTTTTTTACAACCCTCTATCCCAACGTCGTCCGCCACTATAACATATATAATATCATTGCTCATTATTGTGAGAGGAAGAGATAAAAGAAGGGAGAGAGGGATCCTTTTTCTGCATAGTGCATAGTGGGATGAGGTAAACGACAATTTGAGGGAGGTGAATAGGTTTTTGTTTTTAATGATCATTAATATTATTAAGAGATTTATACTAAAAAATTATTAATTATCCTTCCTCTTTTCTTATTTCTATAATAAGAATTTTTTCGGTAATTTTTTTATAATAAGAATTGCTCATTATTGTTAAACATAATTTAGGCTATTGATTAATTAAATAGTAGTTATAGGTTGATGTAATTACGGAAAGTCTTACTTGATGATTGGAAATAAATATTTGGCCAAAAAATCAAAATTTCCAATGCTCAAAATTTGATAATCACCAAAACAATCACAATACAGACTAATATTGAATCAAACATAAAAATAAATCTTATTTCTCAATACATAATTAATAAAAGTAGTAACACAATTTTAATAATAAGTTGGCACTTTAAAATAAGTTTGCAATTTTTTTCAAACGATCTACCTTTGATGTTTAATAGTGAACAAAATAGAAAGAAAGTACAAATTTATTCGCAATTCATAAGTAATAAAAATACTATCAACAGATGATCAAATTACTTATCAATAGAAGTTTGGTTTCAATTTTTTAGTTCCTTGGTATATGGGCCTAGGATTATGTGAGCGTGGAACCTATATATCCAGAGTTTTGAGTATGCAAATGATTGTGGGTCTAATGGGGTTTTCGTTATTGCTCTCACTATATTCTAGCGCGATAGTCGAAGATTATCACCGGAATGAAAGAGAACACAATCTCTATGAGTGCTCCGATTTTCTGGCTCTTAGGAGCATGGGTCTACTTGAGCGGCGAGCCTATAAATTTGGAGTTTCGGGACGGGAAAAGAGTTTCGAGTTACGATCATATTAATCAAGAAAAAAGAATGACACCGCAACTATTAAAGGATTTAGCCATTTTGTATGCTACATTTGAAAAGGGCGCGAGAAGGTTTGCTTTTTTTTATACTATGATTGTTGGTGTTTTTGCTTCTTTTTACCATGTTCATGTCTCTCTTTGCAGATCAATTTGGAGGATTGGACTTTTGTATAATTATACCAATAGGTGATTATATTAAAACAGCTACTTATTGGTTAGTATTATGCTTCATCGAACTGAAATTTAAAATGAATTTTTTTATCAGATGATAGCATAGTATATAGATACTATTTGTGTTTGTTGTTTTCCACAAAATAAACATTTTAATCAATAAAATGGTTAAGCATAACCATAACCTTTAGATTGTGCTACAATTATTAACTAGCGCAGGGCCCGGCCCGTTGGGCGGGTAAACTAACCATAAGCGGCGCAGTTGACAAACGTTGGAATCATAAGTTAAACCTGAATTGAAGTTCATATAAATCAATCAAATATTTCTGGGAATACTATGTTCACCATTGAAGTGCCTTCCTCTCCATTCTCATTGCCACTCAAAATCTTCAATCCTTGCCTTGTAGTAACTCTTGACAATGCAACATATAGCTGACCATGACTAAAAACTTGTCTTTGAAGACATAAACCAACATTGGCTAGTGTTTGACACTGACTTTTGTTAATAGTCATGGCAAAACAAAGAGCCACAGGGTATTGCCTTCTAATGAGGGTGAAATTAAGACTCTTGTAATGGGTTGATAATGTCAATCTGGGAAGGAAGACGCGATCACCGATGTTGGTACCTGTCAAAATCTCCACCTCAATGAACCATTTACCCAAAGTCTTCACAACCATTCTAGTACCATTACAAAGGCCAACAGTTTGATCCATATTCCGTAATAGAATGACTGGACACCCAACTTTTAGTTCCAACTGATGGTCTGGAAAGTTTCCAATCCTGAGGTTGTTCAAAAACTCGGTTGAATAATCAGCATCTACAACTCCCTCCTTCCCAGGGTCCATCTCAATAGAATCTGCGCTGTAATATGCCACTACATCTCCTGGGAATTGACTTAGAATATACTCATTCACTGCAGAAACCATATCATGGTGTGGAGCCAAGATAGCTCGATTGACTAAATAATTATGATCTCCTGCATGACTACTAAGATCACTGTATATAGAGGCGACAATATCAATGACAGGATCACTCTGTCGAGGAATTACTAATTCCTGAGGTATGCGAATCAAAGACTCACCAAACACATCTGAATCTACTCCGTCTCCTACTTGCAAGAGCCAGTTCTGGAAAGTAGTTATCTCAACAGTTTCCTCCGGAGAGCAATTAGATCGTGCTAGCCGCATATTTTCAACTAACTTAATTACCCTCAAATGGGGCCACAGGTAAGACCTCTTTATAGATGAGTTCACAATATCACCTCGTGAAGCTTTCAATACTATAGGCAAAGTTTGCCGGAAATATCCTCCAAAAACAACTGTAAGACCTCCAAATGGCTTGCCCTGACTGTTTTCATATCGAAACCGCAAAATATCCCGCAATGATTTATCTACAGCTTCCACTGCATGCTTGTGTGACATAACAACTTCATCCCAAATAATCAATGAAGCACGCTGAATGAGCTCTGCTAATTCACTACCCTGGTCAATATGACATGTCGATCTACCATCAAGGTCTACTGGAATGTGAAATCGAGAATGAGCTGTTCGACCCCCATCCATTAAAAGGGCTGCAATCCCAGAAGAAGCTACACATAGAACAATCTTATTTTCCGATCGCAATTTCAAGCAAATGACTTTCCATAAGAAGGTCTTTCCTGTCCCACCACATCCATCAATAAAGAATGCATTTCCCTTATCTGCATACACCGATTCAGTAATTTCATCAAAAGCTTTTTTTTGTTGGGCATTGAGCTTGGAAATCATACCTTCAAATTGCTCACGAAGACTTGCAACATTGTAATTAAATTCTGCAGTGATCAATCGATTAGATGAAGATGACATGTTACCAGTATCGATAACTGGTAATCCAGGAAAATCAGATAGAGTTTTGCAATTTCTTGCAAGCAATTTATCTATCTCCAGCAAACAACATTCCTGTAACTGGAGATCAGACATTTCTAAAGTAGGCATATTTAGTTCCTTCCGACGGGCATACAAAATATCATCAGCTAACAGTGCCCAATTCCGCTCCCATAGTTTCCCAATGTCTGAAACTTGACAGAGGCTGATGATAGTAACAAATAAAGTTCTAAGCTTTTTACCGGATGCCCAAAGAGCCGCTTCGGCCAAACAGTCATTCCATTCATTATCTTCTGCCAATAGTCCATGCGAATAACATGCTTCCTTAAAAGATTTATGCAAAACTCCATTCACTGTCCTGATGTCCTCAAAACTTTGAGCACCACGAACAATATGTAGAAGCATACGCAGATAGAACCTATCATTTGTA